CTCTCTCTCTCTCTCTCTCTCTCTCTCTCTCTCTCAGGCTACAGTAGGCTATTGAGCAACTTTCAGGGGAAATAGCTACTTCTGTTGCAACAAATTAAATGAATGAATCAACATGGGAGAAAAAAATATTATAGAAGAGGGTTGTAAGAGATGAAAAGACTGTAAACGTTGTAAAAAAGCTTTGCTCCACTATAACCCACATTGTGCTTTGCTCCACTATAACCCACATTGTGCTTGCCTTATTGCCTTTGACAAAAGGCGTCTCGGGTTGAAGACCGGGAGGGTGGCATGCCTGCCTATCTATTTGCTTAAAAAAAAAAAAAAATCTCTCTACGCCACTGCGAAGGTATCACGTTTATTATAATGAAACTGGCACAGACAGCTAGGCTAAATGCACACCATGGAATTCGTAGCATAGCCTACTGTTGCATCCATTGAATGCATTCTTTCCATCGATCCATAATGTGAAGGAACGCAATCAGCCGGTGAAGAAAACCACCGCGTTTCAATACAGTCAAATCTTACCGTGTTTCGCTCGATAAATCATATGCCACCAAGACAAGAAAAAACACACTCAATCAACACGAAATCATGCAAACCCTATTCCTCTTACCGTGGTGGTTTCACAGTTATATCCAGTATTCGTGTCCGTGGCTAGAGAGCTCAGGGGAAAACCTGAGGACGGTAGCCTACTACACCGTTTCTTCAGTGTGACCAGCCCCTCGTCGAAAAGCACTGAGTTGTGTTTATCTGAACATAACTGTGCTGCTGTCAGTGAATAGCCCCGGTCCTCCCCTTCCCCGCTGTCTGGGCTCGCCTCCCTAGCCGCCGTTACCGAGGAGAGAGAGCCGCCTGGCGCATAGCTTCATTACAACAGGCGCACAACAGTGACACGCTAGAGAAGCGATCATCAAATACGTTCAGCCGCGGGACGGTTTTCCCTTGAGCGGTGGTCAGGGGAGGCCGGAACATAATTACAAATCATTTGTAGACTGCAAATTGGTCGCAAGAAGCACAAACATTTATAATATTTCACTAAAACATAATCATTTCAAACCATGCTTACATTTGTAGGCTATATGATATATCCCTCTTTATGCATGGGAATACTTTGGAACAGATTTCCAAAATTAAAATCACTTGGAGCTGATCTGATCCGCTGGTGTTTTTACAGAATTTGATGTCCAACAATAAAATATATAGTTCTAAAAATGTTTTGCTCAGAAAACTTGGGGGGGGCAAATAAAATCTCGGGCCGCCAGTTAGGGAAACCTGCCCTAGGGGCATAACAGACATCACACCAGCCAGTACCGCTTTCTATGTTGCCTGGAAACAGAACAATGCAGAAACCAGGCGACAACTAGCAACGCCTGTGATGATAGCGATAAAAATAACACGAGAATTTAATGATTCAATTTATGATCAAATACCCAGGCCTATATTTGAATTTGAATTGTCTTAAAGATGTTCATTCGGTTTTGTCAGTATAGGCATTTCATTTTGTTTCATTTCACAATGTATTATTATTGTTATTTCAAATCAAGCCTACATTTCTGCCCATTGTATTGTGAAGCCCCATAGTAGTTGACCTGTAGGCTTTAGGTCTTTTCTCTCCAAAACTCTTGAGCGTGCCGTCTCTAGCCAACTCTCATGCTATCTCTCTCAGAATGACCTTCTTGATCCAAACCAGTCAGGTTTCAAGACTGGTCATTCAACTGAGACTGCTCTTCTCTGTGTCACGGAGGCTCTCCGCACTGCTAAAGCTAACTCTCTCTCCTCTGCTCTTGTCCTTCTAGACCTGTCTGCTGCCTTTGATACTGTGAACCATCAGATCCTCCTCTCCACCCTCTCCGAGTTGGGCATCTCCGGCCCTGCTCACTCTTGGATTGCATCCTACCTGACAGGTCGCTCCCACCAGGTGGCGTGGCGAGAATCTGTCTCCGCACCACGTGCTCTCACCACTGGTGTCCCCCAGGGCTCAGTTCTAGGCCCTCTCCTATTCTCTCTATACACCAAGTCACTTGGCTCTGTCATATCCTCACATGGTCTCTCCAATCATTGCTACGCTGACGACACACAATTCATTTTCTCCTTTCCCCTTCTGATAACCAGGTGGCGAATTGCATCTCTGCATGTTTGGCAGACATATCAGTGTGGATGTCGGATCACCACCTCAAGCTGAACTTCGGCAAGACGGAGCTGCTCTTCCTCCCGGGGAAGGACTGCCCGCTCCATGATCTCGCCATCACGGTTGACAACTCCATTGTGTCCTCCTCCCAGAGTGCAAAGAACCTTGGCGTGACCCTGAACAACACCCTGTCGTTCTCCGCTAACATCAAAGCGGTGACTCGATCCTGCAGGTTCATGCTCTACAACATTCGCAGAGTCAGACCCTACCTTCAACAGAAAGTGGCACAGGTCCTAATCTAGGCACTTGTCATCACCCATCTGGATTACTGCAACTCGCTGTTGGCTGGGCTCCCTGCCTGTGCCATTAAACCCCTACAACTTATCCAGAACACTGCAGCCCGTCTGGTGTTCAACCTTCCCAAGTTCTCTCACGTCACCCCGCTCCTCCGCACACTCCACTGGCTTCCAGTTGAAGCTCGCATCTGCTACAAGACCATGGTGCTTGCCTACGGAGCTGTGAGGGGAACGGCACCTCCTTACCTTCAGGCTCTGATCAGACCCTACACCCAAACGAGGGCACTACGTTCATCCACCTCTGGCCTGCTAGCCCCCCTACCTCTACGGAAGCACAGTTCCCGCTCAGCCCAGTCAAAGCTATTCGCTGCTCTGGCACCCCAATGGTGGAACAAGCTCCCCCACGACGCCAGGACAGCGGAGTCACTGACCACCTTCCGGAGACACTTGAAACCCTACCTCTTTAAGGAATACCTGGGATAGTATAACAGTAATCCTTCTACCCCCCCCCCCCCCCCCCCCCCCCCCATAAATAAATAAAAGTGGTTGTCCCACTGGCTATCCTATGTTGAATGCACCAATTTGTAAGTCGCTCTGGATAAGAGCGTCTGCTAAATGTTAAATGCGTGTAGCCTGTCCATGAGGTACTGTTGTAGTGGGAATCAGTAAATCATTCATCTGCTTTGTTTTTATGGCATCATTAAGCCTGATATGTTTCCAGAGGAGGACTTTGGATCCATGCGGAAAACATCCTTTTGTTCGTTCAACACTTACATAAGGGGGGGGTATTGAAACTAGTTTGGATAATAAAACATGTTCTTGTCATATGATGGCCTTCATGGTGTCTCTGATGTTTTGATTGTCTGTGTGTGTTACTGTGTGTGTGTGTGTGTTGCTGTGTGTTACTGTTTGTTGCTGTGTGTGTGTGTGTGTGTTGCTGTGTGTTGCTGTGTGTGTGTTAATGTGTGTTGTTGTGTGTGTTAATGTGTGTTTCTGTGTGTTGCTGTGTGTGTGTTATTGTGTGTTGCTGTGTGTTATTGTGTGTTGCTGTGTGTGTGTTGCTGTGTGTTACTGTGTGTTGCTGTGTGTGTGTTATTGTGTGTTGCTGTGTTTTACTGTGTGTGTGTGTTACTCTGTGTGTGTTATTGTGTGTTGCTGTGTGTTGCTGTGTGTTGCTGTGTGTGTGTGTGTTGCTGTGTGTTGCTGTGTGTTGCTGTGTGTTACTGTGTGTTAATGTGTGTGTTGCTGTGTGTGTGTTGCTGTGTGTTGCTGTGTGTTGCTGTGTGTGTGTTGCTGTGTGTTACTGTGTGTTGCTGTGTGTTGCTGTGTGTGTGTTGCTGTGTGTTGCTGTGTGTTGCTGTGTGTGTGTTGCTGTGTGTTGCTGTGTGTTGCTGTGTGTTGCTGTGTGTTGCTGTGTGTTAGTGTGTGTTACTGTGTGTTTGCTGTGTGTTTACTGTGTGTTTTACTGTGTGTGCTGTGTGTGCTGTGTGTGCTGGGTGTGTCTGTGTGTTGCGGTGTGGGCGGTGTTGATGCGTGTGTTGCTGTGTGTGTTGGCCGTGTGTTTTGGCTGTGTGTTGCGTGGGTTGCGTTGTGTACTAGTGGTATGTGTGTAACTGTGTGTTTAGACGTTGTTACTGGTGTAATGTGTGTGTGTGCTGTGTGTGTTGTGTGTGTTGTGTGTTGTGTGTGTGTTTGGTGTGTGTTGCTGTGTGTGTGTGTTGTGTGTGTGTTAGTAATGACCACTGTATCTTGTTCTTAATGCCACTATTGTCTACTGAAGCAGTAAGGCCTGATGGGGTGTGGTATATGGCCATTATACCACGGTTAAGGGTTGTTCTTAAGTCCGACGCAACGCGGAGTGCCTGGATACACCCCTTAGCCGTGGTATATTGGCCACATACCACAAACCCCGGTGCCGTATTGCTATTATAAACTGGTTACCAACGTAATTAGAACAGGTTAAATAAACGTTTTATCATATCCGTGGTATACGGTCTGATATACCAAGGCTGGCAGCCAATCAGCATTCAGGGCTGAAACCACCTAGTTTATAAAAACATTTAGAGACTGATATTGACTAGCCTATCTGGTAAAGACAAAGGTGTATAATGTCCACTAGCCTACTAGCAATTATTTATGTGGAATAAACGGTAGATCCTTCGTTAGGCCTCCTTCATTTTGGAACAAACTACGTCACATGCTGACCTCAGTCCTCAGGTATATTTACCTCACCCTTGGTGATAATGAGATGCCTCTCCCGTTTATGATGTTTGGGAATATGCTATCAACTCTATGACAACCACCTCTCTCCCTGACTAAAGTTCACCCTCATAATCAAGAGGTTTTCTTTATAACCTACAGGCTAGTCACTCCTCTCCTCTCAGTAGAACCGTAACTCCTGTCCTGTCTTTGGGACACCAGGAGGGTAGATGGTTATAGCTTATTCTGCAATTGAAGCTGATTTGGAGAGTTACAGAACCAATAGGAGTTCGACTTCATCTTCTTCTTCTTCATCGGTGTGGCTGGAATATTGTGACAATGCCCTCCGTCAAGAAGGCTCTGCATTTTCTTCTTAGCGCGAAGGCTACTGCGTGGTCCGTGGTGATTTTAGGATATGGGATGTCGACAGAATGGGCCGTTTCCAATATGCGTTGCTCTAAAGATGAAAACGTTTTCAGCAATGGCTCTGCCACTGTAACATATCATCTTTTCAATGGAGTAATCAGCAGAGGTTCTTGTCCACAGTTTGGAGGTGGAAAAACCATTTCAAGGTATATTTTCTCATGTTCTGCTACTGTGCCTATAAGTGTGTGGAAATCTGCTGTGTTAAAGATCTAGAACAATAATGTTGACTTCATACTGTAATAATGCAACAATGTAAGTGGACTTGGTATATACTCCTAACCTGTATACTCCTAACAAAAACCCTAACATGTATACTCCTAACCTGTATACTCCTAACCCTAACCTGTATACTCCTAACCTGTATACTCCTAACCTGTATACTCCTAACCCTAACCTGTATACTCCTAAACCTAACCTGTATACTCCTAACCCTAACCTGTATACTCCTAACCCTAACCTGTATACTCCTAACCCTAACCTGTATACTCCTAACCCTAACCTGTATACTCCTAACCCTAACCTGTATACTCCTAACCTAACCGTATACTCCCGTATACTCCTAACCTGTATACTCCTAACCCTAACCTGTATACTCCTAAGAATCAACCCTAACCTGTATCTACCTAACCCTAACCTGTCTCTACTACCTAACCCTAACCTGTATTAACTCCTAACCTGTATACTCCTAACCCTAACCTGTAACTCCTAACCCTAACCTGTATACTCCTAACCCTAACCTGTATACTCCTAACCTGTATACTCCTAACCCTAACCTGTATACTCCTAACCCTAACCTGTATACTCCTAACCCTAACCTGTATACTCCTAACCCTAACCTGTATACTCCTAACCTGTATACTCCTAACCCTAACCTGTATACTCCTAACCCTAACCTGTATACTCCTAACCTAACCTGTATACTCCTAACCCTAACCTGTATACTCCTAACCCTAACCTGTATACTCCTAACCCTAACCTGTATACTCCTAACCCTAACCTGTATACTCCTAACCCTAACCTGTATACTCCTAACCCTAACCTGTATACTCCTAACCCTAACCTGTATACTCCTAACCCTAACCTGTATACTCCTAACCTACTACACCTGTATCTCCTAACCTAACCTGTATACTCCTAACCTAACCTGTATACTCCTAACCTAACTGTATACTCCTAACCTGTATACTCCCTAACCACTAACCTTAACTCCTAACCCTAACCTGTATACTCCTAACCCTAACCTGTATACTCCTAACCTAACTTAACCTAACTGTATACTCCTAACCCTAACCTGTATACTCCTAACCCTAACCTGTATACTACTCCTAACTGATACTCTAACCAACCGGTATACTCTAACTGATATCTAATAACTGTATATCCGAACCTAACCTGTATACTCAACCCTAACCTGTATCATCCTCGTTACTAACCCTAACCTGTATACTCATACTGTAGTTTCCAAATAAAAAATAATGAAAATCTGTAGTTTCTAACAGTCAAACGGTTTTGTTATATTTCAGTCTTCCTTTATGTATATAAAGTGTAATATTGGGATGCAAACTCATTAAATGACCTAGTATGATGGTACATTGATCAGTTATACAATTTAAAGTCGTTATTTTTGCGGTTTTGGCCAAAGTTGATCTTTAAAGTAACTGTCCAGTGTTTCCAAATTTCTATGAAATATGACTTATAATTAATTACAAGTGAAATAGTTTTCCTTCCAAAAAATGGTACTTAAGTATGTTGAAAAGCAGCTTTTCTGTGTTGGAATGGTGTGGGTGTACCCCAACAAGTGAATGGTGTGGGCGTACCCCAACAAGTGAATGATGTGGGCGTACCCCAACAAGTGAATGGTGTGGGCGTACCCCAACAAGTGAATGGTGTGGGCGTACCCCAACAAGTGAATGGTGTGGGCGTATACCGGTCATAAAAAATATTCATATGAGTAGACCGCTGATTGGCCAGCTCATCCTCCTCAGCAGGATGTTTGAGACACAAGCCTTCCAGTTATACTGTGTTTTCAAAATATCCCTCCAATTATGGGGGGGGGACCCTCCACACCCCCCTGTTTACACTCTTATAATTATTTTTCTCTAAAAGGGTTCTTCGGCTGTCCCCATAGGGTAACCCTTTTTGGTTCCAGGTAGAACCCTTTTTGGTTCCATATAGAACTCTCTGTGGAAAGGGTTGTTCATGGAACCCAAATGGGTTCTACCTGGAACCAAAAGGTTTTCTAAAATATCTACACCAGAATTCCGCCCTTGGTGGAACCCCTCATAAGTGGCGCAGGCAGGGTTGTGGGTTCGATTCCCACGGGGGGCACTGCATCGCAGTGCTAGCTGTGCCACTAGAGATCCTGGTTCGAATCCAGGCTCTGTCGTAGCCGGCCGAGACCGGGAGACCCATGGGGCGGCGCACAATTGGCCCAGCGTCGTCCAGGGTAGGGGAGGGAATGGCCGGCAGGGATGTAGCTCAGTTGGTAGAGCATGGCGTTTGCAACGCCAGGGTTGTGGGTTCGATTCCCACGGGGGGTATGAAAAAAATATATATATTATGTATGCACTCACTAACTGTAAGTCGCTCTGGATAAGAGCGTCTGCTAAATGACAAAACATGTAAAAAAATAACAGTACTGTATATTCCTAACCTGACTGTTCTTTGTGTGCGTAGTGTTTAAGAAGTTGTCAGAGACGGGTGGAGCGCCTCAGATCATCCATGGTCTAGTGATCACCCTGCTGGTCCTGTGTCTGCTGTGCTCTGCTGGCAGCATCCTCATCGCTCTGTATAACAGCGTCAGTAACCCCTACCAGACATACATGGGACCCATAGGCTCTACACATGCAGCTCTGGCAGTGGTAAGATCAATCAAGTTCGCATCAAAATCAAGCCAGTCCATCAGCGACACACACCTATTTAGTCCCATATTAAATACCTGAAGGTTGTGGGTTCAAACCCTATGACCGCCTTTCACACTTTCTCTCCTCCTGGCCTGTATCCCCCTCTCTCTGTAGTAGTAGTACTAATAGTAGTTTTAACTCTTTGTGACTAAGTTAACATGTAGGCTAGTAGTAGTAGTACTAATAGTAGTTTTAATTCTTTGTGACTAAGTTAACATGTAGGCTAGTAGTAGTAGTAGTACTAATAGTAGTTTTAACTCTTTGTGACTAAGTTAACATGTAGGCTAGTAGTAGTAGTACTAATAGTACTTTTAACTCTTTGTGACTAAGTTAACATGTAGGCTAGTAGTAGTAGTACTAATAGTACTTTTAACTCTTTGTGACTAAGTTAACATGTAGGCTAATAGTACTTTTAACTCTTTGTGACTAAGTTAACATGTAGGCTAGTAGTAGTAGTAACTAATAGTAGTTTTAACTCTTTGTGACTAAGTTAACATGTAGGCTAGTAGTAGTAGTACTAATGGTAGTTTTAACTCTTTGTGACTAAGTTAACATGTAGGCTAGTAGTAGTAGTACTAATAGTAGTAGAACTCTTTTTAACGTCCCCTTTGTTCTTTGCTCCAGCGTGCATCTCCTTCCTGGTGCTCATCCTGTACGTAGTTAACGTCCAGCTGAGCAGAATGGCCGACGACCTGGTTCAGAACGACGTGGGAGTTACTCCAGTCTACCTGAAGGACAAGACCTCGGAGTTCAAGGTGGGTTACTACCTGCTGATCCCCTACACGGTGCTGAGTCTGCTAGCAGTCCTCCTGGTGTACCTGTACGAGCACGCTGCCTACACACACCGACGGGAGCAGCAGAGGCCCACAGAGGACGCTCCTAAGGAGATCATGATGTATTAATGTATAGCCGTCCGGATGTACAGATTCACATGAGCCTAACTCCAGCTTCCCACATCTCCCTAACAGACTGGCACGGACTGTGGTGAATAGTGAAAGTGAATGTCCTGAAATGGGCTTCTATGATCCGATGCTCTGCTATTGGAGATTCAGCCTGGCTTACAACAGACCTCACAGGCTTATATAATTAACTCAGATCACCTGGTTCATTTCTGTTTCATTATTACTACATTTAACCCTTTTGCCTTCTGTTTATATATTTATGAATAGCTGACATTACAATCCAATTTAACTTAAATACTTAACATGACACACTGCCTGCTTGATAAAATACCATAAGGTTGATGGAATGTGTTTAGTTCATAACAGAAGAATACAGCAAATGATTACACTACTGTATATTTGTAGTTTCGAATACCAGCAGACAATACATTGGCTTCTTCAATAAATACATAATAATATATATTCTCTATAATGTAAATTCTAATAATAAACAGTGTTGATATTTTGTTTTCTCGTGAAGGCTTAAAAGGGGCAATCTGCAGTTCTAACAATAACAAACCCTTAACCCCACCACTGATTTTGTAAACAGCTGAGGGATGGGGCTACATAAATGTCACCCCTCTCAACCTCGTGGACAGAGCTTTGTATACAAGGACTGACCATCCATGATACCAAGGACTGACCATCCATGATACCAAGGACTGACCATCCATGATACCAAGGACTGACCATCCATGATACCAAGGACTGACCATCCATGATACCAAGGACTGACCATCCATGATACCAAGGACTGACCATCCATGATACCAAGGACTGACCATCCATGATACCAAGGACTGACCATCCATGATACCAAGGACTGACCATCCATGATACCAAGATGATTGTTTCAGCCATGTGTTGAGGCTATACAGCGTCATTTAGCAGACACTCTTATCCAGAGCGACTTACAGTTAGTGACTGCATACATATCTTTTTTCATACTGGCCCCCCGTGGGAATCGAACCCACAACGCTGGCGTTGCAAGCTCCATGCTCTACCAACTGAGCTACACAGGTTATTTTTTATATTTTTTTATTTATTTAACCTTTATTTAACCTGGTAAGAAGCCAGTTGAGAACAAGTTCTCATTTACAACTGCGTCCTGGCCAAGATAAAGCAAAGCAGTGCGATAAAAACAACAACACAGAGTTACATATGGGATAAAACAAAACATAAAGTCAAAAATACAACAGAAATATATATATACAGTGTGTGCAAATGTAGCAAGTTATGGAGGTAAGGCAATAAATAGGCTATAGTGCAAAATAATTACAATTAGTATTAACACTGGAATGCTAGATGTGCAAGAGATTATGTGCAAATAGAGATACTGGGGTACAAATGAGCAAAATAAATAACAATATGGGGATGAGGTAGTTGGGTGGGCTAATTACAGTTAGTTAGTTTACCTTTACATTGTTTACAAACAAATTAGTAAAACAAGCTCATATTTTGAATGCTGATGGGGTACGACAGTTGAGGCATCTAAAAGTTATGTTCTTCAAGAATCAATGGGTATACACTGAGTGTACAAAACATTAGGAACACCTGCTCTTTCCATGTCAAAGACTGACCAGATCAATCCAGGTGAAAGCTACGATCCCTTATTGATGTCACCTGTAAAATCTTTTGTCTTGCCCATTCACCCTCTGAATGGCACACATACACAATCCATGTCCTGTGTAGCTCAGTTGGTAGAGCATGGCGTTAGCGACGCCATGGTTTTGGGTTCGATTCCCACAGGGGGCCCGTATGAAAAATGTATGCACTCACTAACTGTAAGTCGCTCTGGATAAGAGCGTCTGCTAAATGACTAAAATGAAATGTCTCAATCCTTCTTTAACCTGTCTCCTCCCCTTCATCTACGTGGATTTAAGTGCCTTTGAACGGGGTATGGTAGCAGGTGCCAGGCACACCGGTTTGTGTGAAGAACTGCAATGCTGCTGGGATTTTCCACGCTCAACAGGTTCCCGTGTGTATCAACAATGGTCCACCACTCAAAGGACATCCAGCCAACTAGACACAACTGTGGGAAGCATTGGAGTCAACATGGGCCAGCATCCCTGTGGGACGCCTTGTGAAGTCCACGGCCCCCAACAAATTGAGGCTGTTCTGAGGGCAAAATGGGAGGGGGGGTGCAACTCAATATTAGGAAGGTGTTCTTAATGTTTTGTACACTCCAGTGTATCATACATTTTAGGAATATGAATTCTTAAACACCTTGATGCTGTAAAATACACTTTGACCTACATGTATCTATAGGTTGACTTCCTGTATCTATGACATCACTGGTATAGTTGGTCTACACTGCGTGCACAATTATTAGGCAAGTTGTATGTTTGAGGATTCATTTTATTATTGAACTACTGCAGTGCTCTCGGTCAATCCAAACTGTTAATAAACCTCAAACCTGAATATTTAAGAATGTAAAAGTGAGGTTTTGGCTTTCTTTGGAGCATATCTATGTGTGCACAATTATTGGGCAACTATTAGTGTGCAGAAATTATTATGCAACTAAATGAAAAACGAAAAGTTCCCCATCTCACTTGTTTATTTTCATCTGTTAAAGTGAGAATAATAAACAAACTCAAAATGTACAAATAAATATTTCTGACATTTCAAATAAAATAAATAAAAATCAGTGACCTGGCTATAGCCACCCTTCTTTTCAATAACAGTCATAAGCCTTCCATCCATGGAGTCTGTCAGTTTCTTGATCTGTTGACGATCAACTTTTTGTGCCGCAGCAACCACAGCCTCCCAGACACTGGTCAGAGAGGTGTCCTGTTTTCCTTCACTGTAAATTGACCATTTAAGAAGGGACCACAAGTTCTCAATAGGGTTTAGGTCAGGTGAGGAAGGGGGGCCATGTCATTATTCTTTCATCTTTAAGGCCTTTACTGGCTAGCCACGCAGTGGAGTACTTCGATGCATGCGGTGGAGCATTGTCCTGCATAAAAATCATGGTCTTCTTGAAAGATGCAGACTTTTTTCTGTACCACTGCTTGAAGAAAGTGTCTTCTAAAAACTGGCAGTAGAAATGTAAAATGTAAATGTTTGGGAGTTGAGTTTGAGTCCATCTTCAACCCGAAAAGGTCCAAATAGCTCATCTTTAATAATACCAGCCCATACCAGTACCCCACCTCCACCTTGCTGGCGTCTGAGTCGAAGTGGAGCTCCGTGCCCGTGTCCATCCATCTGGTCCGTCAAGAGTCACTCTCATCTCATCAGTCCATAAAACCTTTGAAAAAATCTGTCTTCAGATATTTCTTGGCCCAGTTTTGACATTTCAACTTATGGGTCTCGTTCAGTGGTGGTCGGGTTTCAGCCTTCCTTACCTTGTCCATGTCTCTGAGCTCTGAACACCTTGTACTTCTGGGCACTCCAGGTAGGTTGCAGTTCTGGAATATGACAGCACTGGAGGATAATGGGTCCCTGGTAGCTTCACGTTTGATTCTTCTCAACTCTTTGGCAGTTAATTTGCGTCTTTTTTTCTCAACACGGTTCTTGCGACCCTGTTGACTATTTGCAACAAAACGTTTGATGGTTCTGTGATCTCGCCCCAATATCTTAGCAATTTCAAGAGTGCTGCATCCATCTGAAATACTTTTTATAATTTTTGACTTTTGAGAGTCAGTTAAATCAATTTTTTGGGCCCATTTTGCCTGAGGAAAAGAAGCTGCCTAATAATTATACACACCTTGATATAGGGTGTTGATCTCCTTAGGCCACACCCTCCCTCATTACACAAATACACATCACCTGATATATGCTGAAATCCAATAAGCATTCCAGTTAATACAGCTTGGAGTTGGGAAATATGCATAATAATGATGATATGGTCAAAATACTGACTTGCCTAATAGTTGTGCACACAGTGTAAATTCAGGCGCTGAAGTAGGCTAGCACTACATGGCTGCGTTTACACAGGCAGCCCAATTCTGATCTTTTGACCAGTCACATCAGATCTTTTCACATCAGATATTGTTCAGATCTGATAGGTCAAAAGACCAATTAGTGAAAAAGAAATCAGAATTGGGCTGCCTGTGTAAACGCATCCTGTGTAGCCGAGGTTGCAGGAATGACTTCAGTCCCTCTCAAAATGTCTATATGAGGAAGAGACTGTCTTTAGAGAATGGACCAAAAAACACAACACACAAACAGAAACATGCTAAGAATCAATGCATTTACATTTTAGTCATTTAGCAGACGCTCTTATCCAGAGCGACTTACAGTTAGTGAGTGCATACATTATTTTTATTTATTTTTTATTTTTCATACTTGCCCCCCGTGGGAATCGAACCAACAACCCTGGCGTTGCAAACACCATGCTCTACCACTGAGCTACATCCCTGCAAAACATTCCCTCCCCTACCCTGGACGACGCTGGGCATTCCCTCCCCTACCCTGGACGACGCTGGGCATTCCCTCCCCTACCCTGGACGACGCTGGGCCAATTGCACACCGCCCCATGGCCAAATAACAGCCATAAACATTTCTCTTCACGCCAAGTTTCCTCTGTGTTAATGACGACCTTATTGCTCTGTCACTTGTGGGCAGCAACAATACAACATCCCCAATCTGTTCCACAGTGAGAATCATGAGTTAGAAGTATGACTCTCTGCTGCCATCTCCTTGTGGGACTGAGTATTGTATCACAGTGAAAATCAGAAGTAGTCTCTCTGCTGCCATCTGCCTGTGGAACTGAGTATTGTTCCACACAACGTTTCTAATCATCGTCTTCACTTCAGCAGGTGGACAAGCCAATGGTTTGTCTACCTTACACGTTGTTTTGTACTTCCTGATTGAACTCGTAAATGTTTTGCTTGCAGTGTCTAACTGAAATATAGCCCTATGCTTTGGCGAATCGGACAACCTGTTGAGTGTCTGTGAGATCCATACATTGTTTGTGGAGCTTTCAGGAGTGTGCTGGGGGTTTCTTCCTTGTAATG